AGGTGCCAGACCTAGATTGGGCTCCTTCTAGAACCATATAGGGCCAGCAGTATGCCAACTGGTAGCATTTTTACCCATTATCCCATTCTAAGCAACAGAACCAGGGCAGATAGAGAAGAGTTCTTGTGCACAGGGTAGCACTACTGGTTACGGAAGTCCTGGGAGGTGTGCTGAGAAGGGAGGAAGGTCAAAAGCCAGCAGCTGTGGGATGGCTCAGACCCCAGGCAAAGAACAGTGCCTCACCTAGAACACCTTATCTAGTTTGCAGAGGAATGATCATGGAAAGAATTCTAGACCAAAGGGGAGCCTACATTTGTGCATCACTGACCCAACAGAGCTTTCTAGACAGCTGGCAAGGCTGAGTCCAGCAGTATCTATTCTTGCTCAGACTCAAACTGGGTCGGGAACTTGCAGAACTCAGATTGGGGGTGGGGGCAGCAGTTAGAGTTTCCCTTAGATCACACCACTCTAGGAGTATGGAAAGCCTGCAAGTCCCCAGTCTGTTCAGGATATCCTAAAATTATATAATACTCAAAATCCCTGAGAAAACAGCAACAGGACCAGCCTGGACCCTCCCTCCAGCAGTGTCATATAGCCCACCCCTGATATCAAGTTCAAAGTCAGGAAGCAGGCTGGAGAAATGAGCAAATAAAAGAAGCATCCCATTGTAATGATGGGTTACAGTGACAAGGATGCTGAAGACATCAATGTTGAGGAAAAAATGACTCCAAAATGCCTACAAGCAAAGCCTCAGAGAAAAACTCAGCTTGGGCCCAAACTCAACTAGAATCCATGCAAGAGATGAAGTGATAGTTAACTAAAAGAGTTGAAGATATTTTTGTAAATGGAGTGAGAGTGATTATGGAAAAAATGGAAAAGAAATGAAAGCCATGGAAGAAAGGATTGGAAAGGGAATGAACAGCTTGTGAAAAGAGGCACAAGACCTATAGAAGCAACAAACTCCCTGAAACTTAGGATGGACCAAATGAAAGCCAATGACTTAATGAGGCAACAAGAAATGTTAAAAACAAAATCAAAAGGCTGAAAAACAGAAGAAAATGTAAGATATGTCATAGCAAAAATAACTGACCGGGAAAACAGATTAAGGAGAAAAACTTAAGAATCTCCGACACAAATTTTTGGCATCACTATATTTATACTCTCTACCCACTGTCATTAAAAGCATGGCCAAGCCAAACAGATCCACACAGGGCCATGCCAGAAAATGAACGTGTCATTGGGTACCTCGAGTTTATCACCTCTCTGCCAAGAGGGGGATGGGGGCCATATCACCCCTTCTCTGAAGTCATAGTCATTGCTTTGGTCAGAATTCTTAAGCTTTTCACAGTTGTTTTCCTTTACACCATTGTAGGCATTATAGAAATTATTCGGGTTCTATTCTATTTGCTTTGTATCACTTGACGTAAGTCTCAGGCTTCTCTGAATCGATTCTCTCTTCATTTCTTATGGTACAGTAGTATTCCATTACATTTATATGCCATAATTTGTTTAGCCATTTCCCAATGAATACAACTTCTTTGAACTTTCTTTATTTCCAATATTTGCTATTACAAAAATACTGTCTATAAATGCTTTTGTATATATGGGTCATTTCCCTCTTTCTTTGATCTCTTTTGGTTATATGCTTAATAGTGATGTCACAGGGTCAAAGGGCAGGTAGAATTGAGTGCTTTATTTTAGCATAGTTATAAAATGCTTTTCAGAATGGAAGTACCAACTCACAACTTTATCAAGAGTGGATAACTGTACCCATTTTCCATAGTCTTTCCAATAGTTGTCATTTCCCTTTTTTTTTTGGTCATCTGTCAATATGAAGTGGAAACTCAGATTTTTAAAACATGTGATGCATCATGTTTATTCTCCAATATATCCCCTCTCCCCTTCCAAAAGAGGTATCCCTTATAACAAAGAGTTTAAAAAGTGGTTATACAAACAACACATTAACCAAACCTGACAGTCTACACCCTGTCCCTCATCCATTGTCTTCTACCTGTTTAATGAAGGGAGAAGAGCACATTTTCTCAACTATTAACAACATCTCTCCTGGAAATGGGAGAAAAGAGAATTATCAAGGTTACCTGTTGAATTTCAAACAAAACCAATATTGGAGACCAGGTCCTGAGACCTTAAAGGTGGGATCCTTGGAACAATGGACTATAAAAAGTCCAACCTTAAACCATTGTTCATGAAAAAGAAAAAAAAAATGGAGGCAAAGGGCCTCTTGGGTTTGAACTTGCTGACTCCTGAAGCTCCAGGCTGCAGAAACATTTCAGAAATGTTTCCTAAATATTTACGAGAACCAGGAGGTATTTAGGTAGACTTGTAAATTTTCCCAAGTTGAAGAAATGCTGCACTTCTGGCTTGTTACCCCAACAGGAATTACATACTGCCTTGTAAAAGGAAAGGCCATGAGAGTTCAGGCAGCTGGGGCCATAATTAGGCCAGGCTAGGTCAAGGGCAACACTGGGAAATCTGAAGGGGTCATTCATTCAAAAAAAAAAGCTTCAGGAATCAAGTCATTAAAAAACAAAACAACTTCATGGGAAATTTGGCAAGCGTGAGGTTCCTTAGTACTGATGAATAAGTAGCATGTGAGTGACGTTGAATGTAGAAATTCCTTAATTGCAGTGTGGCTGCTGGACGCCCCCCCCCCCAAATTCCCCCCCCCCCGACACAGTAGCTGGACCCTGGCTTCCTGGGTGGAATTAGCACATCTTCCTCCCCGGGTACTGTTTCTAGCAAGCTTCCTCATACGAAGGCAACAGGGTTTCGTTGACTGATGTTTCCTCACATTGCTTTGTTTTCTAAATGTTCGGTCTGTGGGTATGACAGGTGTAGACTCCCTGATCTTCCCACTGAAGTTGTCCAGCAGAAGCTGACCTTGAGACTATTGGAGATGAGGCAGCAGGGGGTGGGTGCAACCTGGGACAGAACCAGGGCTAGAACGAGCCACAAAGCCTCAGCTGGGATCTTCTAACCTCTGGATGGCAGCTCCCTCACCAATAAAACAGACATGATACTATTTGTACTGCCTACCTCTCGGGACCTCTATGGAGGCAGATAGGTGACACAATCAATCCATAAACACTTATTAAGCACCCACTACTTGCCAGGCACTGTGCTAAGCACTGGGAAGAGAGGATAGAATGCTAGAACTGGAGGCAGGAAGACCTGAGTTCAAATCTAGCCCCCGATGCTCACTAGCTCTGTGACTCTGGGCAAGTTATTTAACTTCTCTGGGCCTCAGTTTCCTTATCTCTAAAATGGGGATAATAACAGCACCCACCTTGTTGTGTTTGTCCTTTGTTCTCAAAGAGGACCTTGACATCAGAGAGATGATGACATGACTTGAAACTGACTTTGATTTGAGTGAGGGAGGGCTGTACAGGTCACCAGCCCCACTCTCTTCTCCAGAGCCATCTGGGTCCAGATCAGGTGGACTGGAGATGGTTCCCAGCACCCTCTTTACTTAGCAGTTGTAAGGATCAGATGAGATAAGATCTGTAAAGTGCTGTATAAATGGTGATTCTTGGGATGACTGTTTGACCACAGCCAGCTTACCTCGGCTCCTAGATCTTCCATTCCAGGTTCCTGGGCAATATTGACTTGACAGCAGCAGCCTTTCCCCAGCTGAGCTCCCTTTCATCCTTGGCCCAGCTGCTTCATCCTTTCTGGAGCTCCTTGGAGTTGTCTTCTGTTCTTTCCCGGCAGGATGTTGGACGTCTTCTGACCTGAGGGCTCCTCTTCTGGTGTCATCTCTTTTATCATTTAATACTGTCTGTGGGGCTTTCTTGGCAAAGATTCTGGAATGGTTTGCCATTTTCTTTCTCCAGTGGATCACCTTTTGTCAGAACTTTCTACTATGACCTGTCCACCTTGAGTAACCTTGCATGGCATAGTTCAGAGTTTCACTGAGCCCCCAAGCTCCTCTGCCATGACAAGGCAGTGATCCAGGAAGGATTTCAGGTATGTAGACATACCACTCCAATGGCGGAAAATGAAGAATTAAGAAGCCTCTTCCTGAGGGTGAAAGAGGAGAGTGTAAACGTTGGCTTGAAGCTTAACATCAAAAAATTAAGACCACAGCATCTGGTCCCATCCCTTTATAGCAAATAGAGGGAGAATAAATGCAAGCAATTCATATTTTCTCTTCTTGGGCTCAAAGATCACTGCAGACAATGACTGCAGCCATGAAATTGAAAGATGCTTGCTCCTTGGAAGGAAAACGATGACAAATCGCACAAGACTGAAAAGCAGAAACATCACCTTGCCAACAGCAGTCTGTATAATCAAAGCTATGGTTTTTCCAGGGGCAATGTATGGCTGTAAGAGTTGGATTATAAAGAAAACTGAGCGCCCATGAAATCAATGCTTTTGAATTGTTCTGGAGAAGCCTTCTGAGAATCCCTTAAGCAGCAAGGAGATGAAGTCAGTCAATACTTAAAGAAATGAATTCAGGCTATTTATTGGAAAAACAAATACTTAAATACTCTGACCACATAATAAAAAAGATGGGACCCATTGGAAAAGACCCTGATGTTGGGAAAGATTGAAGGCAAAAGGAGAAGGGGAAGGCAGAGGATGAGATGGTTAGATAGTGCCATGGAAACAGTGAACATGAGCTTGGACAGACTATGAGAGATAGTGGAGGGTAGAAGCACCTTATGTGCTATGGTCCATGGGCTCACAAAGAGTCGGAAATGACTAAACAACTGAATAACAAATTATGATTACTGATTAATTGACAAGTGTCTATTCAGTGCTTACTCTGTGCCGGGCACTCTGAGGGTCCCATAAATTAAGATGATGGATGGAAAGTAAGAGGCAGTATGGTATAGTGGCTAGAGTACTGGGCTTAGAGCCAGGAAGCCTTGGTTTTGAGCCCTGCCTCAGACACTTACCAGCTGTGGGACCTGGGCAAGTCACTCACCTCCCTTGAGTCTCAGTTTCCTTATCTGCAGGATGAGGGGGTTAGAATCATGTTTAATGGAAAGACAGGAGGTTGGTCCTCCCCTCAATAAGTATGGAAGAGGTGCTACTGGCCTTTGCACCATGCACACGGAGAAGTTATTGCCACCTCTTCTGTGGCTTTTTTTTTCATTTTTAGAAGCAATGTGAAGCAATGTTGTTGTACTGGATGATGTGATGAACCTGGAGACAAGAAGGCCTGGATTCCAATTCTTCCTCTGATGATAGACTGACCCTCCCAAGTCACTTAACTAGAAAGCCTCCATTTCTTCATTGATACCATTGTGATGAAAAGCCTCCGTGGCAGTCTTTCCACTCAGGAAACCATTTTGAATCGTCAAAGCATGAGGCTCTTCCATCCAAATCAAAATGCGCTGCTGGCCACCAAGGTGACCAGAATGCTGTAGGCCTTGAGACCAGAATGGACAAGGCAAAAGGAGCTGGGGAGAAGGATGACTTATACGTATGTGTGTGTGTGTATCTATATCTACATATGAGGTCCTGTATGTGTTGTGGAGGGGGTGGAGAAGGCTGACCTGAAAGAAGGGGGAGGATTGAGCCAGGGGATAGTAGGGGGAGGGCATTGCAGGGCTGGATAACAGTGGCAGGGAAGGAGAGAGGCATCACCCACATCGTGAATGAACTGTGCCTCCCACAGCCACCCCCGGCTCTGCCAGTCTCTCCCACCTGCCCTTCTGGACTGACCTGCACCTTGCATGGGGAGGGGAGGTGGAGGTTAGACTGGATGTGATTCCTCCCCTCTGGGATCAGGGTCCAACACCAGCCAGGGGAGGGCAAACTCTCGCTTGTCCTTGTACTCCTGAGCCAAAGACTCAGCTCACTCAGTCGACCAACCAGCCCATTCTCTTTCAATCACAAAGCTCTTGTCCTAAGGCATTATACCAAGATCTGGGGATGCAAAGGAAAGGCAACAATGCTAGCCTCTCTCTCAAGGAGCTCAAATTCTAACAAAGGAAACATGCACACACATGTAACATATATACAGGCACATACACACATGTATAGATATATGTGTATGCACACGTGTATACACGTGTGTGTTTTCACAAATTAATGTACCCAGAAAAGACTCAGATCTGGCTCCTTAAAGTAGTCATAGAACTTCCCTGCATAGTCCTATTGCATACAATGTTGACCTCTCCAGCCTTCTTCCTTCTTATCCACCCATCCTCCCCTCCCAATATACAGACATGCTCTGGGATCCAGTGACCCTGGCCTCCCCGTCCATCTCTTGGCTCTGAGCATTTTCTCTGGTGGCCCCCATGCCTGGCAGACCCTCCCTCCTCATCTCCACCTCCTGGATTCTCTGGTTTCCTTGAGGTCCCAGCTCAAGTTGCACTTTCTATAGGAAGCCTTTTCAGATCCCCCTGTCGATTGTTCCACTCAGTGCTGTGTGTAGGTTGTTTTGACCTGTTGTTTGCATGTTGTGTCCTGCATTAGGTTGGGAGCTCCTGGAGAACCTTTCTTTCTATCCCCAGCACGTATATATGTGGTCTCCATTCCCACCCTCCCACACCCTATTGCTAGATTCAGAATGACATTGACAAGCTGGGCAGTGCCAGTCCTGGCTCTGGGGCAGACAAGCAGACCCTATGGGGCCCAATTCTGGCTCTGATGAGCCCTGTGACTGTGGGGAATTCATTCAAACTTCTTTGAACCTCAGTTTCCACAAGTACCAGGCGGGGGCTGGTTAACAATCCTAACACCACAGCCATCACAGGAGCATGGGGGGGGGGAGGCATTAACACCTGAGTGACCGTGGCTTTTCCACGTCCCCTTTCTGGGCCTCCACAAATTCATTCCAGCAGCAGCTCACATTTGTTGAGGTGCTGTAAGGTTCACAAAGTACTCTCCCCACCGTTACTCTTGAAGGTGTGTCAGTCTTTAAGATCCCCTCCCCTCCCCCCTTCTCCATAGGTATATGATGAGGACATGTAATTGCTGGGAACCAATATGAACCCGTCCATCAACCAACCTTCAGAAGTCCACAGAGACGACAACACGAGCAGGGGAAAGGAATTGGATCTGCCTTGGTGATGTAGCTTAGAATGAGGGCCCTTGCTAATTCCATTAGCAGGCAGAGTTAATCACATCCTGCCTGGAGACCACTATGAGCTCAAATGCCTTGCCTTATGTGACCTGGAAGCTGGACAGAGGCAAGCGTGGGAAGTGAACCCAGGCAATCGAAGTCTTTACAGGCCACCTCTATCCTTCGGCAGGAAGTGGCCCCACCTGCCTTTAACTTGGTCTGTGATGCCGGAGGAAACTGAAGTGTGGGCGGGTGGAGAAATGAGAATCTCCAGACCAGGCTCAAAGGCCCATTTCTGAGCTCAGATTGCCTGTGGAACCCTGGGGAAGGCTGAGACTTTCTGTCCCTGGGAGGATATTGCCTTCTGCCCTTGGATTTTATAACAAACTTGATCCTCCATGTCAGAATGAGCAAAAATACATGGGTATCCCCAAGGGAATGGGTGAAGCTGGATTGCAGACTCCCCTTCATTCACCAGGTTTGATGACTGTCCCATGGATACTGACGCTGGTAGGAGGTATGTTTGCCTATTGGGAAGGAAGGTTCTGGCTGTGGTTTAGTGGTAATGCCAACACCATGCTTGTTCATGGGGTTTGAATTTCCTGTTTCATAATTGGACCCTGTCTTCAAGTGGGAATGGACCTCATAAAAAGAATAAATGGAGGAGAAATATAGGATGATGTCTTGGGGGGATAGTGGGGCCTGGTGAATTATCCATATATCTATCTGTCTGTCTATCTATCTATCTATCTATCTATCTATCTATCTATCTATCTATCTATCTATCT